CAGACAAGGGATAATATGTATACTGTATATATATATTTTAATCCAGATTCTTTATGAACCGATTCTAATTATTTGACAAGAAAGCTTAGCAATGCGTCTTTCTCTTTTTAAATGCTGTAAGGGATATTCTTTAATAAATACAGTAATTTAATGGGATGCCCATTACAGTAGCTTTCACAATTTCCCAAATAATTGCCCCAGAGCTATTTGGTTTGTTGATAAGGTGGTAGTATTGTGAGATAGCATTTCTAATACTCTCAATTATATCAGGTTTATCTAAAATGAATTTGTTCAGTCTCAAATTTGTGAAGATTAAAAAGATATTAGGGCATAGTCAAATAGAGTAATAGACCTGATGTTGGCTGAAATGATTGTTAAATCTGGAGAACGAGAAATTAGTACGTAATCAATTCTAGAGTACGTCTTAAATCTAGGAGGGTAATACATTTATTCCTTAGTTGTTGGATTAATTTTCCTCCAGATATCAATTAGAAAGAATTGAATAAAGAGCTTAGTAACCAATCTATGTTTTTGTTTACAAAATATATTTTGAACCAAATTTATATCTAACCTGACATCTGCAACACAATAAGAATCTGTCTATGACAATTTAGACAATTTTAAGAGAAGATAGCATAAAAAAAATAGTATAGGTTTCAGTTGACATAGTAAATGGAAGCCAAAGTATAACCATATTATTATGTTTACCTTTCACAAGGTAAATTTCACCCTTTGGGTCCTTCTTCACTTTAATATTTTGCTGATTAAAGGAATTTGTTAAAGCAACTTCCTTAGCCCTAGAAGATCCACTGCTGACCAGTTGTGGGATGGACAAATTTACCCTCTTTATTTATATCCCAGCCATGTGTTCCTTGTAAAAAATAACACTGAGGTTTTCTCTAAGTATTGCTGTAAGTACTCTCTTATTAAATCCCAAGTATTTAAAAATATTGTGCTCAAGGGTAATTTCTAAAATATTGGAAATATTTTTTTGCTTATGAGGTGGTATATGAATACCATACATTATAGATGCTTTTATACATTACAGATTAAGTCCTAACTTGGAGCAGAGTTAAGTTATGCAAAGACAGGAAATGTTATGATTTACTGCCAACTCCTGGTCAGGGTGTATATAATATTGGTATCATTTGATTTGAAGCCAGAGCACTCTACCTCTTTCCCAGTCTCTTTCCTCAAAAGTATTCTATGAGAGCAATAATCGAAATACTTAAAAGTGTCTTCAGCATTGATATTAAATTGGATCAAATAATAGAGTTGGAGGTAGAAACTTAAGCCATCAAGTCCTGCTCAGTGCATGAATTCAAATTAAAACATCCCAGCCTACCACTTTGAACACATCTAGTGTGCTCATATCACCATCTCTCTAGGTGCTTGGTTCCATTTTCTTAATGTTAGAAAATATTCATTAATATTCGATTGGAGTATGCCTTCCTACAATCTGGAAATGATGGAGCAATGATTTTTTTTTTCTTTTAACATCCTTTTTGAAGAATGCTGCCATATTCCCTCCTTATTCTTCATTCTCAAAGCTAAATATTCCCATTTTAGGTTCTGCTCTCTTGATCTTCCTTCCAGTTTCCTGAATCTTACCAGAATGAGATACAATATTCAAAATTAGGTCTTAGAAGAAAATAAGACAATTATATCCACTGTTTTGGAAACTATATTTCCAATTATATGTATGAAAAGCAGAGCTCCTGACGGATTTTAAATTAAGGACAGAGGAAAGTAGAACCATCTATCCCACCTTGACTAAAACAAAACTACAGTGAATTATCCTGATGTGCTCTGGGTTCAGTGTTTATGCAGCCTTAATAAAATCCCAGTTTCAGATATTTTTGTATTATTACCCCACTCATAACAACTCTCAGCCTTCCAGATGTTAAGAATGGACTTTGTTGGCTGACCCACTTGAAATTGTAAAGGCTGCTCACACCCAGTGTAATGATTGCTAAGTACACTTGGCCTATGGTAGCCATGTGTTCTTGGGAGAAGGCCTGGCTGCTCTAACAAATTGCATAAATCTGAACCATCTTTTTGTCTTCATATCAGAAGTATTCTGTAGCTGTTCTCTAAGTGCCAATAACTTGTGTTGATTGAGAAATTCTACAAAACCTATTTGAACAGCTTCAGTGTTCAATGTTTTAAAATAAACATTCTTGTTATATAGCTTATTCAGTCCATTTTCAGACTGATTCCAGAGTATAAATATTGATTTTGTAAAGAATAGTGTATTTGTCTATTTTTGGCATAAAACTTTTCCCCTTAGCCTAAAATACAATTTTGAGATTTTTAGCAAAGACCACATGATATTTCTGTTTATATTTTAAATATTCCCTTTTGCAGCTGATAGATGTCTTCTTCTTCTTGTTCCTCTTTGCTGTGTGGATGGTGGCTTTCGGTGTAGCCAGACAAGGGATCCTACGAAAGAATGAACAGCGTTGGGAATGGATATTCCGATCAGTCATCTATGAGCCTTACCTTGCAATGTTTGGCCACTATCCTTCTGATATTGATGGTATCCATTGAACTATAGTATTAATCAGTGAGGGGTTGGAGTAGTTGCGAAGCAGTTACTGTACACCTATTTCCTTTTGTCCTTGTGGTTTGCTTGATGGGGAGGGGATGGAAGCAGGGGGTCATTTCATTTTCTTCTGAAAAACTATCATTGTGCTTGGTAATAGTTTTGAATTATGGAAAGCTAGAATGAAAACTATGTAAATAAATGTATAATTCAGAAAGGCCTTTCATGTTGGTAGTATCACTGACAGTGGTAGTATCACTGACAGAAAAATATGCTGAATGACTGGATCAGGAATGAACAACTTTTTTCAGATTGCAAAATGGTACTGTATAGGCGTAACAATTAAAACTTTTTAAAATAAGATTTTTAAATGGCTGAAATTTGCTAAACCTCTCAAGATTTGGACAGCCTCAGCTATAATGAAGCCAAATGTTACACTCTCTTTAAAGATTAAAATTTAATTGTGAAGTTCAACTGTTATGTGAACTGCTGATTCAGTAACTAGATGCAGTAGTGTGAATGATAAACAAAGTCTGTCAGTTAGCAGCAGCCTTAGCAGCCTTAGGGCAACCCCTCTTCATCAATTTGAACAGGAACAGGAATCACAGATAGGCAGGGCTGTGGAAGATGATCTTGGATGCAGTGTCTATTATTTCCTTTGGTTGAAAATATGCTAAGCCTGGGAGCTTTCATGCTAATACTGCTGAGGGAGCCCTTGACTTCTGCCTCAAAGCTCTGCCCTAATTGCATCACATGATAATGAATCACTAGGATGCTACAGGCTTTTTCAGGTGAAAGACTCAAGTGTTGAAGGGATAAATATCTGTCCTGTTACTGTTCCCATTTCTGCGGCAATCTATGTGCTAAATGGGCTGCAGCGTACAGTTTTCTACTTGTATAAATCTTTCAGAGTTACAATTAATTCCAGGAATTTTATAAATGATGTTTCCCAGCACATGGAAGTCCGTGAACCTGGGAAGAGGACAGGTCAATACATAGAAATCACCTGGGGAAGGGGAGGGGAGAAGATAGGGATTTTCTCAAGTGTGATGTAGCTGTTGAGCTCAATACACTACCTAATCCATCCCAGGACACAGCCAAACTCCTGCAGACCATGAATGCAGTCCTACCTCTGCCTGTTTCCTGTAGGCATACACTGTCCATTCATTCACAAAGCAGGCTATGACATTCCAGAAGTCAACTTGAGAAGGCTGATAAAGGAAAATCAATGTAAGTTTATGAATCTAAGTATAGTTATATGCAAGGCAGAAATGATGTTTTCAAGTAGAGGCTTTTACAGAGCCAGCTTCAAGCCTGCATCTAAATCACAGCTGGAGGTTTATCCTCAGGGTGTTTTTCAAAAAGCCTGGCATTTCTTTACCTTTCACATGGGTAAGTGGGTACATGGGTAAGTCAGTAAATTTACACTACTCAGCCTCAAGGACTGTGATCTCAAGATCCTTGGACAAAGGTTGTGACTTATTTTCATTGCTTGAATCTGTCTTTTCCTTTTATGGGAGTTAGAACTTCTACTAAATTTTTACGCTTTCTGATTAAAAAAAAAAGTTTTTTGTGGCTCCTGATCACTGTGCCTAATGGATAAGTTGCTCCTGGTCTATTCTCTGTTGCAAGGAGAAACAGAAAGAGGGAACCAAAGCTCTCAGTGCAAGTTAGTGCCCAAAGTGTTTTTGTCCTTTTTTGATACACAGACATCTTTCTTTGTTCTGAGCTAAGAGGCTCAGCTACCTTGTCACTTCCTCCATTAGGAAAAGTGTGGATTGGCCCCAACAGAATTGCCCAAGTAGTTGTGCCAGTTGTGCTCAGGCGGGAAAAGGGGAATGCTGGAGAACAGTCTTGGAACCAGAGCAGGGAGCTGCAGATGATACAGGATTGGGAGAAGGATACTTTGCTTTGCACAAAGCATTTTCATTGCTCTTTGCCTTCCCCCACAGAAGACAAGTGGGGCAGCTGAAGTGCATCTAAACCAGAACACTTGACAGGGCATGTGCCCTTGATCTTGGTTGCCTAGAGCTATACCTAATTAGTATGGAGGTGATCAAGAAAGCCACATTGGTAGGCACTCAGTAATTTTTTTCTTAAGTAAAGTAACATTTTTTAAGTTAGAGGATAGGTAAAATTTCTTCAGTAAACCAAACTCTCCTCTTCTATTTGATCATGTTTCCTGTATAAACCAGGATCCCAACACAATGACTAACCATTTTTATGCTGAATATTGAATAAAAACAGTAGTAAAAATAACACCGAATACTTAAACTTTTTCATAAATTTCACAAATATCCCCATGTATAGAATAGAATGTTGTTATCTCCAAACGCAATAAACTGTTATACCACTTTGCTGCAAACTCCATCTCTTTTGAAAGTGTGTGTGTGTGATATAATGATATGTGTACAGAAGGGACAGAAGATATCATGATATCATGCTGACTCATTTGACTACCCTAGTGGATGCTGCTGGTTATGGAGATTCTGGATTAAAATCTCAATCGTTTATTATTTTTTCCTCTTTTATTATTGTGAATGCTTTATTACATTTGGGTTGTTTTCCTGGATGTTTTTAATAGCATTGTATTTTGTTGTAAGCTTCCAGGAGTCTGAATGATTTAGTGCAGTACAAATTTAATACAAAAAATTACTATTGCTGTGCTTCTGGTGGTGCTAAAAACATGTACTGCCCACACATCAATAAATTTGTATCAAAATATAACAGTTCTTCTGATATTTTAGTATCGTTTTCTATTTCTTCCTTTTATGATAGGTACAACATATGATTTTGATCACTGTACCTTCCTTGGAAATGAATCCAAGCCTCTGTGTGTTGAAGTGGATTCCAATAACCTCCCTCGCTTCCCCGAGTGGATTACTATTCCATTAGTGTGCATCTACATGCTGTCCACCAATATCCTCTTAGTTAATTTATTAATAGCCATGTTTGGGTATGTATCAGCTTGGAGTACTTCCTGTTTCCAAGATTTCCATTTCCATTGTCGACTTTTAAAGTCTTCCTCAAGCTGACCTCCATTGCTCTATAATTTATTTGTTTGTTTATTTTAAGTGAATAAACTAGATTAGATCACTCTAACCAGCAACAGGTTTTGCTGATATGGGAAGCATAATTTCAAATCAAGTTATTATATTCATCTTTTTGCTGCATACTAGTACTGGGACATAAATAGAACAATAAAAAGAGCAATGGAGCAATTTTAATTAGTAAAGTAGTATCAGAAGTATCAAATTTCAAAATAAATCTCACCCCATTTTAAAATACAGTAGTTACTTGCCTGACTCCTGTACTTTGTACAGAAGTACCAAATTAAAGGAGAAGATAATCAACATAAATACAAGATAAATGGATATTACAAAAGTCCTAGAAAGTTAATATAAACAGGAAAACTCACTTTTAGCTTTTTTTAGTTTTTTTAAATAAACTTTTAGAAAACCCACATTTGATATAGTAGGAAATGTGTTGTTAGTGTTGTGTTATGCAAATTAAATGTGAACTATGTGTTTATGCTAATGTAATAAAATATATGGAAGAAAGAGTTTAAATATCATACATGAGGTATTTTCTTGTTTCTATTTCCTTTTATTATTAATAAAGTAATAATATTTTATTAAACTTTTATGCTGCCCGACTCCCAACAACTCTGGGTGGCTCATAATGAAAGAAAGAAATTACAATAATATTAATAAAAGATGGCAAGCATGACAGACTAGATAGAAAGAAGCAAGGGGTCTCACTGTCCCTCACCAAAGGCCTGGGTGAAAGAACATTAAAGCAGTCATAAAAAAAAAAAAAAAGAATATGGGATTAATCCCCTTGTGTGTTAATCTTTCCTTTAGATATACTGTTGGATCAGTTCAGGAGAATAATGACCAAGTATGGAAGTTCCAGCGTTACTTCTTGGTTCAAGAGTACTGCAGCCGTTTAGCTATACCATTTCCTTTTGTCATCTTTGCCTATATCTACATGGTGATGAGGAAACTTTTTAAATGCTGTTGTAAAAATGAATATAGAGAACCATCCATTTGCTGTAAGTTATTTTAACTGGATACTAAATGGTGGAAAGGGAAGCAAAATAAAGAGGTATTCATTTTATTAAAGAAAATGATTGAGATTTCTCAGATAATTGTTATATCGCTATACTTTTATTATAAGAATACCTGGGCTAACCCTCTATTCAGCTGTTATTTTTGGTCTAAGGCACTGTGAGAATTATAGTCAGGGGTCTGTCTCCTCTGCAGGATAATTGAATGGATGCCTTTTGGGACTGCACTCCCAGGATATATTTGCAGTGTTTAGTCACTCATAAGAAGGACAAAGACTGCAGATGTTGGATATTTGAATTATTTCCCAAATTTATCTCACTTTCGGTTGCTTTTAGTTGCTACCATTATCCTGCCACTAAAGCAGCATTTATGGTTTGAATCTATTGATCTACAGGATGTTAATATAACAATATTATCCTATCAGCTTTGGGTGATTCCATATAACAATTCTGCATTCTGCCGTTTTCTCTAAATGGTATGGTTTCTCTCAATGTATGGCAAGGCAGCTTACATAGCATTTATTTGCCTATAATATATTAGTGCTTACTTGGAATCAGCTCTTGATCAGGTTATCCCATTCTGGGCTTTTACACCACATATCACAAGGGTTAGGGTCTTCTGTTATATAGCCTAGAGCACCAGGAGAAGTCTCCTTTTTGTCCCTTGCTAGCTACCCAATTCAGAGGCGCAACAGTCAGTATATCTGGTATACTTTCTACGAATGAACACAGAATAATCTAAAGGAGCTGTATGGAGGATGTGTGTGTTTGTGTGTAGGTAAAGCTGTGTTAAGTGTACAATCCCTCAGACAATTAGAAGTAGTAACACCTTCCTTTTGAATAAGCATGCATACCATCATAGTGTACAGCTGAAACAAGTCTCAATTACCCTTTTAAATTATATCCCTACCATCTGTGTTTCTTTTGTCAATAAAGACTCTACTAGTGCCTTGTGGTATGGATTTTGTATTTTGAAGGTTCAAGAAATGAAGATAATGAAACTTTGGCATGGGAAGCTGTCATGAAAGAAAATTACCTCGTGAAAATTAATACCAAGCCCAGTGACTTATCCGAAGAGTATGTCAGCTTACTTTCTTTGTGTGTTTGTTTATTCAGTTTCCATTATGCTTTAAAATCCAAAGTTGAGAATATGTAATATGTTTATTGACAGATTTTAATAGTTATAAAAACTTCGTTGATTCAAATACTGTATATTGATTCGGCTTTGAAGAAAGATGGATGAACAGTTAGGGGATTTGTAGTACATGGCAATTTTTAAAGTCTCATATACCAAAATGCCATTTTAGATGTTTAAACATTTAAACATTTCAAAAAAAAATTATTATTAAAAAGTGAAATTAATTTTACTTAACATTGGAAGGAGGTTCCAATGTTAAGAAAATCATTGGAATATGAAGATGGTCATCATGCTTTTTATTCATACATTACTGCAGATGCCCCTGCTGGATTTCGGTCTGCTATATTAAAAATTGCAGTTTGTGATCTAAGAATGTAAGCATAAAAGCAAAATTAAAGAGGCCCATAACTGATCACAAATGCCTTGCATCTGAACCCTTTCTTTGTACCTGGTACAAATTCTAGTACATGGTACAATGACTCTGTGGAATGGAACTTGTTATAAAAACTGGGGAGTAAAGATTCCTGCTGAATCTTTACATCCCTGGAATTCAGGATAGCTGTAAGATATTTTTTTTAACACTGAAAATAATTATAGAAAGGAAAGGCATCCCTCTCTTGAAATGCATGATCAATCTGTATTGTCTTATACTTCTTTCATGGCATTGGAGAGTAATAACATGGTAACATTACCTATTTGTATAGGTGCATTACTACAAAAGCCAACAATCTTTTGCCTAATTGAAATGTAAAACTTCTGGGTGGTTATATGATGCACAGAAAAGTACATATGATTCACCTATGATTCCTATTAATTAATTAATTTCAATTTAGTTCCTGAAATTGTACTGGATTCCTTTTTCCATTGTACAGGTAATCCCAAGTTTAAGAATGAGTTCCATTTCCAAAGTCTGTCCTTAAGTCAAATTTGTATGTAAGCCAGAACAATATTATACAATAATATAATAATTGTATAAGTAGTATTATAAGTAGTATAAATAGTATTGTGTATAATATTGTGTAATGAACTCAAACCATTGTGTGTTTAACTCGAATCATTGCGCATTTAACTTGAATTTTGCTACAGTAGGCTCTGTTCTTAATTATGGATCATCCTTACACTGGGCATTCTTAACCCTGGGACTACCTGCATTTCATTTAGAGAAACTACCTAATTTGATGACTATGATAAATACAAAGATCTTTATTACCTCCAGTTATGCTTCTTCTGAGAAATTGTTTTGTGATCAGAATTAAAACCAGAACTACCTTCCTCACTGCTATATTTCTTTCCACAGAATGGCCCAACAATTTAGGCAACTGGATACTAAGGTATGGTTTTGGGGAGGCGGGGAGGCAAAAGCACTGTTTATGCTTGAGTTTTGAAATACCCATAAGCATTGCAAAAGTATTTCCAAGTATGCAACAATAATTTTAAAAATTAGAATATTTTTGCTTTCAGTTTTTATTCGTTCATGGATAACTGAGGCTTTGTTGCATGTTTATTGCTGAAATGCATAGTGAACTATTTTTAAAATTTAAAGTTTATATTACATTTGAATATTTTAAGATTCATTTTTACATTACTTTTTGATTTTAAAAGTCATCATTGTATAATTTGAATAAATGTTTTAAAATGTATTTTTGTTTCTCTGTATAATGAATAAATAAAAATTAAATATAGAAGTTACAGAGTTGAAAAGAAAAATAACTCAAGACAAAAACCACAAAAAAAGAAGGGGGGCAAACCTAATTGGGAATATACATAAAAGGGAGTTAGGATTCATATTCAGTATTTCGATCCAAAGTGACATTTGTGGAGACGAGGATTGCCTTATTAGAAGAATTAATATAATTACTAAATGGAGACTAAAATTGACTATGTTGATTTTTTTCAAAACTGTTTGTTGCTTCAATAATTTTTCAGCCAAAGCAAATTCCTAGCATTGGCACAACAAAAGATATGTACTGCTTTCCAGATCAAACAAACATAGCTGTTTTTTCCTGCATCAGTTTAACTGTATTAAGAAATATAGCAGGATTTATCAACAAGAATGAAAGATTTATTGATTTCCCCAGTTTCTTCAACCAGTTTCTTCTTTGTCCAAAATACTGACTAATCAGGCATTCTTGCCAAAAATTATTATACTATATATGTACCAATTTGAAAGGAATCAAATGTTTTGATTTTAAAAATATCAAATATTTTAAATTTAGTATGCCTAAACCTCCATATTCCTTTTGTTTACACTACACATCTTGCCTAATTCTAGTCTTTTTATAATACCTATAGTGTAAAAAAAATCTTTGTTATGTATGAAATATGAAGCCACAGAATTTAGAATTTTTGGAACAAAAAGCAAGATTATTGAAAGAACTGATATTCTGACAAGTAATGATAATAAAAGATGTTGCCAGACTTGAGTTTTATTTTTACTGTTTAGACAAAGGGCATTTATTTTTATTTATTTACACACACACACACACACACACACACACACTATTTGGTGCCAATCCTCTGTAATAATTATCCTAGATATCTAACTCCAGCTTGACTGATATGAATTTCATGAAGCATCTCTGTGATTCTTTATCTAAGTTAATATCTAAGCCTGCACTGCTCGTCAGTTATTTAACTCAAACTCCAATTGAGCTTTGTCTCTACTTTGATTTCTTAAAAAATATTGTCTGCATACTGATTGATACTGTTTTTCTAGTTAGAGGTTGGATGCTCTTATTTTCCTAATATTTTGTGTTAATACTTCTATAATAAGATTGAACAAATTACATGAGAGTTCACACCCTTGTTTATATATCTGTATATCTGAAAAAAATACAGAATCTGATCCATGGATGCTAGTTGTGCTGGTGATTAACTGTAGAAATGACCCAAATACCATTTCCAATAGCAATTTTTACCTTCTGTTCTGTTCAATTATTTTTAAAAATTTAAGATAGCAAAGCTAATTATATTTTGGTATATTTAGCATAATGTACAATATTCAATATTCTTTTAATTGGATATTTTAGAAATGAACCCTGATTAATCCAAATAAATATAATTATTTAAGATTTGTTAAATAATCCAAACTTGAATCTGCTTCCAGGAACCAGGAATTTTTGCTCCAGTTATATAATTGGAATAAATAGGGTACTCATTCTTTAAAAAAGAATTACAGTATTTACGTCCAAAGCCATCCATATCTGGAGCACTGCCATTTAAAAATTCATTATCTCATTATTTGTTTCATATTTCCTTATTGTTTAAGGAAATTCTTTATGCTTCTTGATTCCTTTTTCTCATTTTAGCATGTACCACTTAAATGTGCAGCCTCAATGTACTTTTGTATTTACAACATAAAAGCTTTCTTTGATTTTTTTAATCATATGTTTTACTGTACATTTTTATTTGATTTGTGTACTAACATTTCTTTTTAATTTATGATTGGTGCCTTTATAATTTACATTCATGAAAAAAATCCCTTCTTAGGTTGTTTCAGTGGGTTGTTACAATCACAATCTACTTGTATTGACTTTATAAATGGCTTATTATAGTCATTACTATTATCATCATTATTGATATAAGAGACAGAGTTATTAAAACATTTTACAAGAATCTTATTGAATCTTTGGCAAGCTCCTATTCTTTTATGCTTAATTCTTCACTTTTTGAATTCTGAAGACAGCTTATTGAAGCTAAAGCTAAATTTAGGTGCATTCAGATTTCCCAGCCAGCAAATGTTAATGAACTTGGTTGCAAACTACGGAGAGCAACTGAGGTATATAAGGTTTCAATTAATACTGCAAGCCAATCTACCCTTCCCTGGGAGCAAGTTCAGTTGAACTTTTTGGGCTTTGCCTTTGAGTAAATGCATTTGGGAGTGTATTGTTAATGGATTTGCTTAAGGAAAAACTTTTCTATGATTCAGTATAATAGTCAAGATCAGTCTTGTGCCTGAAATGTAATGTTCTAATTTCAAATTAACCTGTTACAAAATTGTTGTTATTGTTTTTTAAGCTGAATGATTTGAAGTCTCTTCTGAAAGATATCACTAACAAATTAAGATGAAAATTGCATCCAAGAGGATATGTCATCTGGTATCTACATCAATTGAAATGTAATGTTCTAATTTCAAATTAACCTGTTACAAAATTGTTGTTATTGTTTTTTAAGCTGAATGATTTGAAGTCTCTTCTGAAAGATATCACTAACAAATTAAGATGAAAATTGCATCCAAGAGGATATGTCATCTGGTATCTACATCAATGAATAAACAATAGCTCATGGGCTAAATCTGACACTTTAGTTTTTTCTTTACAGTCGTATTTATTTTACAAGGAAATTGTAAGGTTGTCTATATTATTTGTTTCAGGACAGTCTTTCAGTATAATATAATATTAAAGATGGGAAATACTGATGTTTTCTAAACTTGGCTGTTGATTTATATTTGCTTCTGATATTTGAGTAAGCTTATAGCTATTTACATCTCATGCCTTCACAATCATCCTGGAGGTCCTTTATTGACAATGTTTCCATATCAGACATAATTCCATTGTAAATGAAAGTGCATGAGTAAAAGATGCTGAAGATACCTGCAGCACGAAGTATCTTCTGCAGCAAGCTTCTGCTCAAAAACTTGACACTATTGCTATTTTTTAAAATGGGGGGCATTATTCAGAAATAATCATTCCCTGTTAGGAAATGACATGCCTCTTACAATCTGTCCCTGTGATAGAAGTTTTGGGCTACCCTCCCCCCACACCCTAAGAAGCATTGGTGAAGTACTCTCAGCTTCTAGCCAGGGCTGCCTCCAAGTGATCAGTGGAGAAGTTAGCTGGCATAACTTCTCCTGACTATATTTGCTTTTCATGATAGAGGAAAAAAGTAAACAGAGTAACAAACAGGCTGCTCTGCAGGATCAGGCAAAACTACCCCCTGAGCAGCCAGAAACAAATGATGAATGGCAGAAAATCTCAGGAGTCTGGAGAAAGGAAGTGTAGTTTCCTGCCAAAGCTTCAGAGAAATTTTGCTAAACTGCTTTTGCAACATTTGAACTGAGGTTAATTGGCTCGGCATGAAATCCCCAAAGGATCATGCCAGTTGCTGTGGTCTTGCAGGTGGAAAGTCTCTAAGTGAAAATCCTTCTAAGTTTTGGCTAGATTAATAAAGCTTCTGCTTCTTTTCCTTTTCCACAGTAGTTGTTTGTATGAGTATAAAACACTGGCAAAAAAATTAAAATAAGCCATAGCTTTTCCTAAACATTCTCTGAATGATGGAAATTTCCCCTAGATTTTGTTACTAGATTTCTTTTGGTGTGCAGTTTATAAGCGATGAGGAGATAACTAGAAATCAGGAGTATAGCTTTTGGGGGTCAAAAGATAACTCCTAACTAGGGAGAGAGAAGCTCTACCTTTGCGCAGGACTTTGGCAAGAAGAGCTAATAAGGAAGATAATTGACATAAGTGGGAAGTAGCCTGGCTCCTCCTTGTTTTGGGTTTCTTCACCCTGAGCATTCAGTTCTTTCCCCTGGAAATGGCAGGGTCCAGTTTCTAATGGGGGAGGGGCAGTGATACATAAGTCTTGAGTCACTTAAATATTTACCCTAACTTTGCATTCTGAGGGTTAGGGTTACGGTTTTTTTAAAAAAAGAAATATATATACTTACACCAAAAGAAGTTTAAATGCCTCCCTTGTACCTGCTGAAATTTTCTTAAGAGGCAGAAATTAAATGTTGATCAATTTGAGAATTAGGGAAGTAACATTAATGAAGGTTGCTGATACTTTGTTTGTTTTAACTTCAACTGGAAAGAACAGAAAATATTAGATGAACAAATGAGGCAGAATAATGTTAATAGCAAAATGACATATAGCAGATGTTTGTGGAATGCTCTTACCTGAGAAATTAAACTGGATTCATTTTATGGCTTTTTTCAGTGCCTGGAAAACACCACTTTTAGATTCTCAGATGTTTTAAAAGCACAGAACTTAATTGTTTTTAGTTTACTATGTTATCATTCAGCTTTATGACTTGATTTTTTTCTTCTGTTTTGATTTTCAGGGCCCTGTTCCGCTTTTTTCTTATTGTTCTTTGTTAATCATAGGACACAGTGAAATATTATTAAAATACATTTCAAAATAAACAGGAACACTGCTATGTAATCCTTGAGCTCCTGAAAGCTGGGATATAAATTAATTGCTTAAAAAATGTCCACAGATACATCTAAATATGCTTCCAATGTTGTATGTCTGTACTGTAAAGAAGTTTTATCAATATGTTTCCTTACTGGTTGTAACTGTTACCATTAAATATATTTAAAAAATAATAAAGTGGATCAGAATGAATTAACCACAATTAACAACTGCTTTTTGTCATTATTATAAGTAGCTGGATTAAGACATGAAATTTTAAACCATTCTAACTAACCAGCAGTTGAAAAGAGATTTCTGATTAGTAAAATGAAAAGATCAACAATGTTTGACTTAAGAGATTTGACTTTGCAAGAAAAAGTTGGAAATGAATGTTAAACCCTTAACAGCAGAAAGATGCATGATAAGTCTCATTAGTTAGATTTACTGTATTGTCAAGAAGGTAGGAGTTAATATATAAACCCTTGGAAACTGAGTCAGTCAAAACTTTAGCTCCCATTTCCTAGTAAATTCATTAAGGTGAGGTCTCTGACAACTGTTTGAACCTCATTTTCCTGGAATGCAACACCAAAGGGCTACCGGTCCTTTTCCCAGATAAGACTGACCCTGAAATATCCATCCACTTGTTAATATTTTGAGGTACTCCCATTTCTTTCTCAGCCTCACAGTCAGCTCCAGAGATCTCTGCTACAGTGAGTTTGGGCAGTTTTACATGCAAATCTAATAAACATAAATAAATTGTTTCCATAATGGAAGATCATCTAGGCCCTATACAAGTACATCAGAAGTTTTAAAGAAGGGGGAGCAGTCTTGTGCTGATCTGCCTGCATGTCAGTGGGTTATCTAGAGCATTGAACTGAGAAAGGGAGTCCAATGCATGTAGCAAGGAGTACAAAATATAGTAAGAAGGGGTTTGGCAAATTAGTATCCAGAATAAGTGAGAATCAAGAAGGTTGGTGTGCTGTGCACTGAAGCTGGTGAATTACTAATAGGTAGGAGGGAGAAGGCAGATGTTCTTAACACCGCCTTTGCACCTGTCTTTTCTGAGGGAATACATCCTTCCTAACATGACTGAGGGAAGGGAGGGAAGGAAACACAGCTCAGAATTAATAAAAGTACAATTAGAATTCACCTTGCTACTTTAAGTGAATGTATCTCCAGGTGCAGATGAATTATACTTCAATTGTGTTGAAATTGCTGCAGAAGCGATTGGAGTACCATGTTCCTTTCTATAAATTGCCCTTTAAAAGGGATGTTTTAAGCTGGAGAAGATTCATAGTAGTGTTACCAGAATGGTAAGAAATAAAACTAAGTTCTCTGATGCATGGTTGGAGAACTAAGGGAAAAAGTCAGCTCCTCTTAACTCTCCTTGGATGTTAAAATTGGACACCAACACTTACTTAACCAGGAAAGGTGTGTGAACAAACTACTGTGACTTCTTGTTTAGTCGTTAAGTCGTGTCCGACTCTTCGTGACCCCATGAACCATATTGCGCCAGGCCTTC